TGGAATTGAGTAAAGAATTCTCGCAAAGGGACACTTCCATCAAAGTTATCGGGTTTCAATTTATAACCACATTCATTTAAATTCAAATTTCCGTGTTCAGTATGTAAATAATTATTTCTATTGTTAAAATTTCCGCGCTCAGTATGCCCCTCACTATTATCTCTATTATAAGAATGACTTAGCTGGCTATGGCTATCGTTGTTATCCAGCTGTCGTATCCTCTCCTCCATTCTGCGAAGCATTTCCTCACGCTGTTGCAGCTGCGCCTCATAATCAGCTTGCTGCTGTAACCGTTCCTCTCGGAGCTGCCGAATCTTCCGCAGCGCAGATTGGAGTGTGATCGCCTCTAATGTCAGTCCTGATGCTGTCGCTTCTGGAGAAGTTCAAAGCGAAGTCGCAGCTCGTTTCCGCGTCACAACCCCAGATGTAAGATCTTGTTGCTATTCCGACGCCATAGCTCGTTTTGCGCTCTTTCAAAATTGTTACGTTGTCCAGCTCGATCCCGGACGAGCCCCCAAAATGTTGCGTCCGCGGATCGGAATCGAGATAAATCGAATCACGCAAGACACAACCGGCACTCACACTCCGCGTCGTAAATAATAACTCTTAGTTATGAAAGAACAAGAACTTTAATGAAACAGAACTATATAACTATTTACAGAAATAGAGAACAGAGAATATCGTTAATAATCTTTGACACGTCCGCGCGGATTGACATCCGTCACGAAACTAAGATGGCGACCGAAAACAACATGTCCGCCGTTGTTTAACAGCAAACTCCCCGGCAACGTGCTTAGAGACGATCTCTCGAAGACGGGCATAATCCAGGGATGCAACTATATGTATTGCAAAAAATTTGAGTGAATATTATATACGAAGTGTGGGAGATATAAAGAACAAGATGGCGGCCTTTATTCAAGAAGAAGGCTTCATATTTTACCTCCTTTTTCATTAAAATTTTTATTATAAACTTTGCGTTTCCACAATCTATGATATTATTTTAAAAGTTAGTGAAACACTATTTTAATTATTCAGTCAGTTTATTTTATCTTGTTTTTATTCCAGATATAATGGCAATGAGTTGGAGGGTGGTGCACTTTATTAAAGAAAATACAGTAGAAGCCGTGCCAGCGTCCTGGGTCAAAGATATCAATGGATGTTTTTGGCCACCATACAGTGGATTAGAATTAAAAAATTTGATAAAAAATTGTACCCCACCTAGCTATGATTGGGATCTTTACCATTCAAGGCCAATTGGTGAATTATATGGTAGATATTGTTTGAAAAAATGTATAATTTTTCTATATAATTATAACAATAACTATATAACAAAAATTTTAGGAGATCTGAGTGTTGCAAAAAGTAAAGCTGCTCAAACTGAAGAAACTTCTGATTTAGCATCAGAAAATGAAAGAAGGAAAATTAAAAAAAAAAGATTCACATCCGATTCAGATTCAGATTCAAATCCAATTACTTTCAACATTTCCCATAAAAAAAAAAGCGTTATAAATGAAGAAAGCGAAGAAAGTGATAAAGAAAATGAAATAGTTTACATTCCAATTTTAAGGAAGGCTACCAAAGGTAACTGTGACATATTTAAAAGTATATTTAAAAGTCTCATTCATGAACTGACCGAAATTTTTCTTTTATTTTAAGAAAATTTTGTGGCACCAGTTTCAAAAAACGTGGTCAATGTTCAAACTGATTCAGGTTAGTAGTAAAATACATAGTATAAAAATACATTAATAAATGCATTTTTTTGTATGATCCTCATAGGTATTTTTTGTTTTTCTAGTGCCGGGTACATCAAAAGAAGAACTTCCAAATACTGTTAAACCTGAAGAAGCTTCTAAAGGTATTTACCTATTGAATATTTCCTATTATACTAATTTTAATTTTGGATTCACATAGCTTTTATTATCACTAAAATTATATCATTATCAAATTTTATTTTGTAGAAATAAAAGTTATGAATTTGTCATTTATTATAATTTATTATAATTTATTTTAATTTATCATTAATTTTTTTTTTAATTTCCAGATGAAGCCTACAAAAGACAAGTACTAAGGATGCTGTCGATTCTGAATTATAAGATGGACCAAATGGCGGAAGATTTAAATAATCTTAAGATGCATAATATTATGGAAAAAGAGGTTCCCACAATGGAATCTTTATTTGAAAAATTTGAGTTGCCCTTAAATTCAATGGAAGAACTACCAAAGGTAACTGTGACATATTTAGAAGTATCTCATTTATGAATTAACCGAAATCTTTCTTTTATTTTAAGAAAATTCTGTGGCATCAGTTTCAAAAAATATGGCCAGTATTCAAACTGATTCAGGTTAGGTAGTAGCAATATATAAATACACTAATAAATACATTTTTTTGTATAATCCTCAGGTATTTTTTTCTAGTGCCGCGTACATCAAAAGAAGAAATTCCAAATACCGTTAAACCTCAAGATGCTTCTAAAGGTATTTACTTATTGAATATTTCCTATTATACTAATTCTAATTCTGGATTCACACAACTTTCACTATCATTAAAATTATATTATTGTCAAATTTTATTTTGTAGAAATAAAAGTTATGAATCTGTCATTTATTCTAATTTATTCTAATTTATTCTAATTAATCATTAGATTTCTTTTTTAATTTTTAGATGAAGCCTACAAAAGGCAAGTATTAAGGATGCTGTCGATTCTCAATTATAAAATGGACCAAATTGCGGAAGATTTAAATAATCTTAAGATAAATAATATTATGGAAAAAGAAGTTCCCGTAATGGAATCTTTATTTGAAAAATTCAATTTTCCCTTGAATTCAATGGAAGAACTTCATAATTTAGAAATTTATTTAGAAAATGATGAAAAAAGAAAAGAAGTTGTAAGTTATCTGGATAAATTTTAATATTAATATAAATAGTAGTTCTATTGTAGTTTAATGTAAATTAGCAATTTTCTTTATTAAATTTTTAAGGTGATAGAACTTTCAAGATTTGGAGGAACAAATCCTAAAATTATGGTCAAAAGAATAATGGAGAAAGTTTTCTCTAACGAGTTGGCTGTGCAATATTCTTGGCTGGGATTCAAAAAGAAAGAAAATTTTTCTAATTTGATTCTTTCCCAAATAATAATAAGTAAGGATTTTTAAAAAATTATATAATATATATATTATAATATTATTTATAACAAGTTTTGATAAAATAATGTCATTTTGTTTTGAACAATTTTTTGCAATTTTTTTCAGAATCTGTGATGGCACTCCACACAAGCACTTCAGCATCTGATGTTGAAAGTGCCATCAAAATGTGGTTGGTTAAAGCCAAAGAAAGAATTCAGAAACAACAGCAAGAGTGATATACTTATATTAATGATTTTTTTTTGTTAAATCTAATTTAAAGTTTAAATCTAATCTAAAGTTTATACCTGTATATTGTACTGAAGTATTTTTGTTTTTCTTATATGTTCAAATTTTACGATTAATCATTTCAGTGATATAATTGTTTAATATAAAGTATATTGTTTTAAGACTCTCATATGTATAAGGCTCTAAGTTTCTAATATCTGAATGTACTGATTTAATGTTAATTTTTTATAGTTCATTATATTTGTATCCATCAGTATTATATTTTATATAAGATAATATAATATATATTAATTATATAATATAAAATATATTTTATTTGTATCTATAGCTTTTTTTCATTACCTATACTCGCTCATCAAAATATTTATAGAATATCCTAAAAAGATTCTATGAAAATACGCAGAATGTTCTCTAAAAGTTCATTTAATATCCAAAGATGGTCTCATAATATTTAAGGAATTATGAAAGGAACTATTATGTGAAGTGATTTGAATATTCATAAAATATTCTATAGAATATTCATAGGACATTCACAATACGTCACTTTTTGCCTACTTCTAATGTTCCATTGGAGATTCATAGGAACTCCGAAATATTATGTAATAATATTTTAGGAATATTTAAACATTCTCCGATGTTATTCTATGAGTGTTCATAGAATGTATTTGTGCTGTCTGGGTATAGCCACGGTAGAGAATTTGGCCGCAAAATGCCAACTATGTGATGATCAAAAATCCGAAACGGACATCATTACAAAACTGCTTGACAAGATTCCAGCTGAGTATTCAGCAGTGCATGTAGCAATGTCATTGGCTGGTGCAGATAGACAGAACTTGGAGACCGTCAAAAGGTTGCTACTCAGCGAAGAGACGAGGCTTGGACAAATAAATGAGTGAGGCTCTATTTATCAAGAAGAATAAACAAATTAAGAATTCGAAGGCCCTTAACAATAATCAGTACAAGGATAAGAAGATTAAGCGATGCTTTGGATGTGGCGAGGCAGGGCACTTCAAGCGAGATTGTCCAAAGCACAATAAGGATCATAAGAAAGATATCAAGGACAATAAGAAACAACATAATGCAAGTAATGTGTGTTTCAGTTGTATCGAAGCAGCCATGGTAGGAGACAAAGATGACAAAGTATTGGCTGACAGCGGAGCATCATGCCATATGTTCAATGATAAAACTTGGTTTATTGAATATGCAGAGAAAACCGAAACTCTAAAATTGGCGAGCAAATGCCAATTGAATTCGATAGGTGGAGTTAAAGTTACAGCCGAAGCGTGGATTAATGGCCAGTGGGAGCTAGTTTATTTCCAGAATGCCATGTATCTTCCAGATTTAAGAAAGAATTTGGTTAGTATTGGTACCCTAACAGCACATGTAGATTCTGAGAATGTTCGGAGGATATCGCAAAAGTATATTGCGTACATTCTCAAAATATTTGATATACGTACCACGACATACTAAGTACATACTGAGAATGTTCCTATATCCCGCTTATTATAGTTCGTAGAATATTCTGTGAATATCTTTCAATATATCTTTAGTATATCTTTAGTATATATCTATAGAATATTACCCAGTACATTTTCTGTCATTGTGATCTCAGTTTTGCCGTCAAACAAACGTCAGAAAATGACGTCCCGTGGATGCGACATATCGACATCATTTTCGGGTCTCATGAGATCTAACTTAGGACGTCTAATTGGTAATTTTGTGACCAAAATTTACTGTCATTGTGACCAAAATTTACTGTCAGTTTGCTACTTGGGATATATATATATATATGATGTACAGAATAATGAGACAAATCAATTAGTGCAAAAAAAAACAAAAGATAAACTACAAGAATATGTAATGAGAAATAGGAGGTTCCATTTAAAAAAATGAAGATGACCTTCAAATCTCCTAAGTCCCTCCACCTAAAAAAAAATGTTCACTTCCACAAGATTTCCCCCTCAATACCATACAACTTTTATTTCAAACATTTTTTCCTATCTCCAAAACTATGGGAGTTATTCGGGTGGCCTGTCTTAGATGCCTCACCCTGTATATACAGGGTGCGGCATTTATAGTGACGCGGACATATTTTTCGGAAACGAAGTGAGATATCAAAAAATGTTTCAGACAAAAGTTGCATGGTTTCGAGGGGGCCACATGATAAAAATATGGATTTGACCTTAAGTGGTCTTTTCAAGGTGAGGTCAATGTGGTCGATGTTTTCTTAAATGGAACTCCCCATTTTTTATTACATATTCTT